GATTTAGTTACTGGACCTGTTATCGTAGGTGTTCGACCTACTCTTCCCGTTCCAGGCATTTCTTTGTTGCTAGGCAACGATTTAGCTGGTGGAAAAGTTGTACCAGATCCTATAGTTTGTGAGAAAATCACTCCAGATGTCATGTGCGATGATAAAGATGATGACATTTATCCAGCCTGTGCAAAAAGACGAGAAATGGAGGCAGACCATACTCAAGCCTTTGACGAGACGAATTCCTCTGTTGATATTGATTTGAATGACACTTTCTTATCTGACCTTGATGGCACTCAAACAAGCATGGAACCACACAATATGAAGAAGCAAGAGAAGAAAGAACTTTTACCAAAATTTGGTGGTGAGGATGATGAGTTGCATCCACTAGTTAGCCAAGGCAAGGACATCTTCAGCCGAGAACGTTTACTCTCTGAACAACACAAGGACCCAGATATCATTCAACTTAGTAAGAGGGCACTTCCACCAGAAGAGGCTACTAAAGTTGGAGAATGCTTCTATATGAAAGATGGCATGCCAGATGAAGTGTGGCGTGTTGTTCACCAGATAGTGGTCCCAGCTGCTTATCGTCGAGATGTCATGAGTTTAGCTCACGATACACCTATGGCTGGTCATTTAGGTATCAATAAGACTTATAACAGGATTTTGAGTCATTTTTATTGGCCTAAGCTAAGAAAGGATGTTTCGAAGTTTTGCAAGTCATGCCATGTCTGTCAGATGGTAGGTAAACCAAATCAGAAGATACCATCTGCTCCTCTCCAACCCATTCCAGCTTTTGAAGAACCGTTTAGTCGAGTGTTGGTGGATTGTGTAGGACCTTTGCCTAGGACAAGATCTGGAAATCAGTATTTACTTACCATTATGTGTACATCCACTCGGTTTCCTGAAGCCATACCTCTTAGGAATATAAAGGCAAAGAGCATAGTTAAGGCCCTAACCAAGTTTTTCAGTTTTGTAGGAGCACCCAAGGCAATTCAGTCGGATCAAGGCTCAAATTTTATGTCGGGGTTGTTCCAGCAAGTCATGCATGAGTTGGGTATAAGGCAATATAGATCAACTGCTTATCATCCTGAGTCCCAGGGAGCGCTAGAACGTTTTCATCAAACCCTAAAAACAATGCTGAAGACCTATTGTTACCAGTATGAAAAAGAATGGGATGAAGGGGTTCATCTTGTGCTATTTGCTGCACGAGAAGCAGTCCAGGAGTCTCTTGGGTTCAGTCCTTTTGAATTGGTGTTCGGACATACAGTTAGAGGTCCTTTGAAATTGTTGAAGGAAAAGTGGCTGACTGAGACTAGTGATCTTAATCTTTTAGATTATGTGTCTGATTTCAAAGAAAAACTTTACAATGCTTGTAAATTAGCACAAGAAAATTTGAAGAGTTCTCAGATGAAAATGAAAATGTGGTATGACAAAGATGCCAGAAATAGGGTGTTTAAGCCAGGTGATAAGGTTCTTGTATTTTTACCTATTCCTGGTCATCCTTTACAGGCCAGATTTTATGGCCCTTATGAAATTGAAAGCAAGATCAGTGATGTAAACTATGTAGTTAAGACACCAGGTCGACGTAAAGAGAAACGGGTTTGTCACATTAACATGTTAAAAGAGTATTTTGAAAGGTGTGACCGAAATTCTGTAAAACCAGTTTCCACTTTAGCCAATGCTAAGACTGTTCAAAATTGTATTGAAAGTGATACGAGAGTAGAAATGAATGAGAAAGATTGTAATCAGAGTGTCCGTTTGAAAAACTCAGAAGTTTTGGCTAATTTGGATGCTAAACTTGGACATTTGAACATTCACCAAAAAGAACAAGTTAAAAACTTGACGAGTGAGTATCATCAAATCTTTTCGGATGTTCCAAAGAAAACTAATGCAACTTATCATGATGTCATAGTGGGCGACGCTCTGCCTATCAAACAACATCCGTACCGTCTCAATCCAATAAAATTGCAGTACCTAAGAAGGGAAGTGCAGTACATGTTGGACAATGACATTGTTGAACCTAGTAAAAGTGATTGGAGCTCACCGTGTTATCTTGCACCAAAACAGGACGGTTCGTACCGATTATGTACAGACTTTAGAAAGGTGAATTCTGTTACCAAAACCGATTCATATCCAATACCTAGAATCGATGACTGTATTGACAACATTGGAAACGCGAAATTTGTCCGTAAATTTGACCTGTTGAAAGGCTACTGGCAAGTACCGTTAACAGAAAGAGCAAAAGAAATATCTGCTTTTGCTACACCAGATGGACTTTATCAGTATAAAGTAATGCCTTTTGGCATGAAAAACGCACCGGCTACATTCCAAAGGATGATTCACTCCCTTCTTCAAGACCTTGAGGGATGCGAGGCCTACATTGATGATGTCGTCATATACAGCAACACATGGGACGAAAATCTCCTAATCATGCGTGCTTTATTTGACATTTTAGCTAAAGCAAACTTAACTGTGAACCTTGAGAAGAGCGAATTTTGACATGCTTATGTAGAGTATTTAGGTCATAAAGTAGGTCAAGGTTATGTTACACCAATTATGGCTAAAGTGGAAGCTATTGCAAAGTTCCCGATTCCTACAAACAAGAAAGAGTTAATGAGGTTTTTGGGCATGGCTGGGTTTTACAGAAAATTTTGTCCAAATTTTTCCTCAGTAGTTAGTCCACTTACAAATCTTTTGCAGAAGAGGGTTAAGTTTGAATGGACAAAGGACTGTGAAAAATCCTTTCATAAAATCAAATCTGTCCTTATGAGCAACCCAGTTTTGTCAACTCCAGATTTTTCTAAGCAATTTAAGCTTACTGTTGATGCTAGTGATGTTGGAATCGGGGCAGCTTTGTTTCAAGAACATAGTGATAATGTAGATAGAGTTGTTTCTTATTTTTCAAAGAAACTTACAAAATGTCAACAAAAGTATTCCACCATTGAAAAGGAATGCCTTGCTTTGTTGTTAGCCTTACAGCATTTTGATGTTTATCTGAATGTTACATTGCATCCAATTCTTGTGTATACTGATCACAACCCCCTGACATTTTTGCATAAATTGTCAAACAAAAATCAAAGACTGACTAGATGGAGTTTGTTGTTACAAGAATACAACATAACAATTAAGCATATCAAAGGCAAAGACAATGTTATTGCAGATGCCTTGTCCAGAGTGTCGTGAACAAATTAGATTTTGTATTAATGTACCTATGTTTTAATAATATAAGTTTTCATTGACATTCAAACTTTTTAAGGGGGGAGGTGTTGTGAGGTGTGTTGTATTTGTATTATTTCATCATGTATATTATTAGTAACATTAAGTTTCTTGAACATTCCAGAGTGGTCAACATGTTCGGTCATTTTTCTAGAACATTCTTGAACTTTGTGCATGTCCAGAACTTTCCAGTAATATCATGTATTTACAATTTCTAGAATATTCTAGATTTATATTACTGTATAAATACCCTGTCAATTCGATGCAGAGATAGAATTGTCGTATAAGCATCATTGAGGTATTACTGGGATATAATTTCACTGGGACATTGTGTGCAGCAACGGACACTCTGATGTATGTATTTTTAGATTCTTGCTAAGTTTGTACTTTATGTTTCATATACTTATTATATATTACTATAAATAAATTATTGTTAAGTTTAAATTTTGTTATTGATCTTTGCTGGCATTTCGGGTAATTCTGACCCATAACAGAATAAAAAAATAATGAACTATTTTGGTGTTGAAATGATTTGTTATGCACCAAAAAATATCCATATTGATCTCAGCTTTGCCTTAGTCAAGAAGAATATTTTCACTTTTCTTGTGAATAACAAACCATATTCAACATCAAAAGAATCTAAAATTATGTAGTAATTTTGGTTACTGGAAAAAATCCTTTCACAAAAATATTGTTACCTAAAACATCTTGATTACATATATTTGATTTTCTTCACTTTACCACTGTTACATTCAGCCACAAAGATATCATCTCTGGCGTGTTCACATAAACCCCAAGGAAGCAGTAGGTCACAATACTTGATATCGCGATTACTTAACTTAGCGGAACTCTTTCGCGAAGGAGGTAGGAATCGTCCGTTGGGTGGGGGCAATGTGCTATTCAATACAATGCAAAGTCTATCATTGTAGCATTTATAAGGACAGATGAGTAAAAAATCCTGGTGGAATATCTCGCTAAACAATCGCTGAACCAGTCTAATATATTTTTGAGAGGAGCCAATTCTAAATTGTCATATTTTTAACGATATTTTTAATTAAGCGGACTCTTCTCGTTAAATTTTCATTGAAAATTGTCACATTTTTAAGCAGATAAAATATTTTAAACTTTCCTTATTTGACGATCTACTATTTGAAGTTCAATATCTGGCAAAACATAGTGATTTCGGCATTAAATTGTTCGAATCATTCGATTGTCACTACTGTAAACAATGTCATTTGCCCCCAGAAATGTAGACTTTTCTGGACTTCCCCGAAAAAGAGCGGTAGTAAGTTAGATAACTGCGAGTTACTCATTGGTAGTCGCGATATTACGTATTATCTATGTATCGAAGGAACGTCCATCCTGATCTAGGATGTGGATACAGTGGTTGTTATAGTCTGCTGTCAAGATATGACTCTGGCTGTCTGTTGTGATGCCGACTGGATGAAATGATCTCTTGGTAGCAAAAGGATGACCAGTGTATCTAAATCGGAATTTCCCTGCCTGGTCAACCACTACTACTGCTTTGGCATCATAGTCAGACACACAGATATCCAGGTTTCTGTTCTCACTTATGTATTTAATAAAGAAACCAGATGAATACAGAGGTCTGCCTTTACTATCAAACTGAATGGTTTGCTTCTCTGTGGAGTCAGAGAAACGGACAACTTTCGATTGTTTGTTTTCATAACTGTCCATTGTAACCAGAAGCTCACCAGAGGAGGTACTACAGACATAGTAAGGTGTCTATCCCTGCAGTTTGATAACTTCCTGTATCCTTTCATTCGTCACTATGTTAACAGTTCGGGGTCAGTATAAACTAGATCTCCACTCCTTGTCACTGCCATGTCAATTGACCGAGACTTGGTTTTGATTGACTTCCGTAGTTTGCCCTGGAGGTTGTAGAGTTTCATGATTTTGTCTTGTCCACTGGTCCAGATTTCTTCATCATCGATGCAGGTGACACTGTGTGGTGTTTTATACCCAGTGTCTATGGTGGTGATGAGCTCTGGTTCATCAAGCAGTGGTTTAAGTAGAGGACAGTATTCAGCTTCTTGTGTCTTCATTGTGTAGCCATGTTCCTCTGTTGTAATGAATAATGCTGATAAAGAACCAAACATTTGATGGAGCTGTTCTGTGTTGATCTGAGGAAGAGAGAATCTTGGAAGTGATACATTGATTTTAGGAGGTGGTCTTCTAAATCCAGCATTCCTGGATATGTATGTAAATATCAGAGATTCGTCATCGGAGCCCAGTATTTCCTTTAGGTAAGTAATGTTCTCTTCTAGCTCAGAAATCATTTGATTTATTTCATTTTCCTTCTCATCTAGAGCCTTCAGGACCCTAGTTTTTATCTGAGCAATATCACATTTTCTTTTTTTGACAATAATGTCTATTTCACTTTGCCATGCTTCACCTTGATTGGAAACAACTGTTGTCAGTTTCTCACAATGTTTTTCCAGATCAGCCTTTTCAGTCTTGATATTAAATGCAATTTCTGTATAAGTAGGGAATATAATTTTTTCTAGTTCTTTTAAATCCTGTCTTAAATGCTTTTGTCAGAGCTGAGGTTATGTAGAGTATCTGATAAATCGTGTCCTTTATGTTTACCAGAGGAGATACAGGTAGAACAGACAGGAATGTCACATTTCTCACAGTAAAGTTCACAGTGTTTCTGGGTGTGGTTTGGACATTTTGGGTAGTTAACGTAATGAGTGGGTTTTCTGTGTTTGTATGGTACAACTTTGTGTCTTTTGGATGAATCAGAGAGATGCTCCCCTACACAGGCCTTACACAGGTTTATCTGACAAAGTTCACAATGACTCTGTAATGCAGCTTTTTGACGCAGGTCACAGAGGAGGAGAACTTGAGCTCTGTCCAGAGGGTCCATCACTGGGGTTTTAGTAAGAAAAAAATCCGATGACCCTATAAAGTAAATAAGAGACATGGATCACTAACAACAGACATTTTACGCAATTTTTTTATAAACAAATCAATGTATGGGTTTTGTTTTGTTAGTGAAAATGTAAGACAGAGTCTGTTTAGAAATAACAGAAAGGATCTATTTGTAGTTTTAAAATGCCGAGTAAACTTTTCTTCCTTGTCTTTAGTCTGAATGTTTATCTGGTAACCTGATCATGTGATTTAAATACCTGAGATATCTATATCAGCCGGTGTAAAGACGAATAACGACCCCCATCGAATAATGACTGGGGTACACCCGTAGAAAAAAAATTGTAGAAAGAGCCCTAGGGGTCATTATTTTATATAATAGTCCTATGAAAAATTGACCCCAGTGAAAAATGACCCCATTTAAAGTGATATTAAATTTATAACAAGTGAAAGGAAAAAAATATGCTGTATATTTTAATTGTTCTACCTTTCTCTCTGCCGAAATATTGACAAATCAGTTTTAAGCAATTAATCAATCGATTAATCTTCATTTCTCTTTAAAGGGGCGAACCTAGAAAATCAAAGATGGTACATGTAAATGGATCGGATCAAAAGCACGCTGGAGATGAAATTAATGATTATATTTTTTTTCTTTCCTGAGTTCCATTGATACGTTGTTTAAGAAAAAAAAGTATTTGTCGTGAAAAAGTAGAAATCTGTAGCAGACGAATTATTACATATATGTATCGGTGCATACAAAAAAGTAAATTATTCGAATTAAGATGTCATTCGGACGAGTGAGTAAAAATAGAAATGGATGACAGGACGCCTCGATGCTGTATATGTTTATATGTTCCATTCTATATACAAGCAGACTCTCACTATATGATTAAAGATATTTGAAATCTTTGCAAACACAAATTCGTTTTATACCCCCAAGAACATAACGTTAAATCAAAACCCCCAAAAAATGAAAAGCAATATATATATATATATAATTATATACCTTTTAATAATACTGAAAGAGGATCTAGATAAAATATTGAAATGAAGTTAAGCCTTAACACATTACTATCATATCATAATTTACCATGATTAAAGCATACTTCAATTGTGATGGGGGTATGCATGTAAGTATTGTGGCAAAGTAACAGCTGAAAATTAGTAGAATAGTAGATTGTTTTAAGGCTATTATTAGTTCCTCCTTATTGAACAATAAAGGTAGGGTAGTTTTTTGTTGCTTTCGTTGATAATCGATTTCCTCCTAAATAAGTAAAGAGGTGGGGTGGGTATAACACCTAAAAATATGCTCTGTAAAGCTATGGGCTAGAGTAAAATACACATTCTAATGCAAAAACTATACATGTACAGTACCGACCAGACCCAACCTGACACAAAGCAGTCCCAGAGCAGTCCCGGGGACTGCTTTCTGGGACTGCTAAAGCAGTCCCACAGCGGACCCAGAGCAGTCCCACAGCGGTCCCAGAGCAGTCCCAGAGCAGTCCCACAGCGGTCCCAGCAGTCACAGCGGTCCCAGAGAGCAGTCCCAGCAGTCCCAGAAAGCAGTCCCATCAGTCCCAGGTTTATTAATTTAATGGGCGGAGCTAACTCAGAAATGAGATTTCCAATAAACAATGGAATTATAAAAGGCAGTAGAAATTGATTCTGGGTAGTATGCCAGGAATCCTTACATGTACACGAAGGTCATTTATGAACAGAACATGTACACGCATAAAAATTGAAATAATTATTAATGATATTTATTTGAGGAAGAAGGCTTTCACACTTATATGAACATATATGAATTACACTGAACATGAATATTTAATCACAATTCTTGGGTACATTAATACTTCTTCTGTGATTGATACTGGTTCCCATGTTTATTTTTTATACAGAAAATTAAAAGTGAATTAAATATTTTCCACCAGAAGAAGCTTTAAATAGATCTTATCATTATATGGCAAATTTAGACTATCGGGATACTCTAAAGTTAGAGTTTTCTTAAGTATTGGGGCTTTTAAAAAAATCTTTGTTAATTTTGCCAAGTATTATTTTTCATTCATGGTTATTTTTACTGACATGTCAATTTAATTATCGTTAATGCTTAGTTCTATAAAACTCAGTTTTAAGTGTTTATTTGTAAATGTTAGAGTGTACATTTGTAACTCACCAGAATGGAAGCTTCAGATTATGTTCAAAATTAATTAATCCCGAAAGAAATTTGTACACATTTCATTTATCACATTGTTTTTGCAATAAATAAATTGAAATTAGGGTCATCGTTTACCAGTATGTTCAATGATGTGTAACTCTGATACAAATACCCAAATAACATGAATCGATTTTTCTGCCCGAAGGCCATTGAAACAATGGGTGTTGATACCATCTTATAAACATTTATCGGCCAGGTAAACACTAGCAAAACAAAAAAAGAAATAAATCACACTACCCGGTATTTTCATTTTAAAAAAAAAAAATAAATATACATGTACTCTTTTAATTATTTGTTTATTAATTAAAAGCTCCCGGTAATTCATTAATTCCCCAATGATTATTCACAAAGTTTATGTTACGATAGAATAGTAGCATAATTTTATTTCATGGTCATTTAATAAATTGTTGGGTTTTATTTGAGGGCTACATGGAATACTCTTTTTTTGCGTCGTCCTTATAAAATGTGTAGCATTTTTAATTTAAAAAAATCTTATATCTAACTGTAATGACTGCTTTTAAATAGTAGCAATGCAAATTTTGAGAACATATTATACATGTTATAATTTATTATTAAATAATTAAAAAAGGCCCACATGAAGCTATTTTTTTCTCAAAAACTTGTAGTTTATTTTTAGGGATAAATTTTTTTTCATGAATTCCTTATTTATCAACTTTATTTTTTTTAATTTATTCTAATTACACATTAATTTGTGTAAATATACAGTCCCTGAAAATATCAATTAAAGTAGGGGCCTACTCGTGGTAAACCGGAAGCCGGGATTAGCCGTTTTCGGTTTTAATATTATGGTTCATATAACATTAGCAAGAACGTAAACAATGTCTACAGAAGTGTTGAAGGGGTGTATAAAGATGATTGAGGGTATTTTTGTGCAAGGATTGAGATTTATACAGTATGAAAACAAGCGCGAGGTCGAATGTAAGTCATTTGAGATATATTTTACCTAGGATGTTATATTGATTATATTATACGTTTTGATTATTTTGGTACCACTCCAATATTTCTGATGCCTATTTAAAGAAAACGTAGCAAATAATTTGCTCTTATCTTTTCGTTCTTTGTTTTTATTTGTGCACAATTGGTATGATATGCAGATGGGATTTTCCTACTTTTGTTTTGACGGCAAATTTTCAACATACGAATGAAGGTACTCAGTTAAAATAAAAAAAATCCACACAGGCTACTGATGATGTATATGAAATTTTAGACATAATTTTGCTTGCAAGACGTTATATATCTTGCTTATAACCTTTTGTAAGTAGTAATAGGCAACCAGGAAAGTCGCATTGAGTAGTAGTGGACATGCCCCCACCCCTTGTATATAAAATATTCTGCATTAAATGTGAGAATAAAATTTATGTTTATGATTAGGAACGGGTGTACAAATTTTGTTAAAATTGTTCTTGTAAAGAATATTTAACTTTTTAGCTGATTTATAAATATTTTTGTTGACATAAAAGGCTTTAGCTATTAAACTGTGATGGGGGTACCTGTATGTTTTACCCCATATCTCGGTGAAAAGACAGATGACCAATAAAATAATCATGCCTAAAAGATACTTCAAGCATCGGTTGACACAAATAAAGACAAAAAAATCAGGGTAAACAAATTAATTATTCTAGTAGAGAGCTTTATTTGAGGTTTGAGCTCAGTTACTTTATTGGTAAAATGAGATTAATTCTTTAATATTTTCTTAGTTTCAACCAGTAATGTGTACCGCAGCCTGGAATTATTCATTATTATCCTTATACTTGTGATTTATGTTCAAAAGAATTTATTTGCCATGTGCTGACATAAAATATAGACCGTCTTTATAACAGTCGTGATTTTGTTTTTGGTACAAGAGGGTACATGAGTGTTTCACACCCTATGTCATTAAATATATAGATTATCTATCTACCTTTTGTGCTTTTTAAGTAGATAAAGCATCGCTTAATGTAGATCAGGACAAAAATTGCACTGTTAACCAATTATTTCCACGAGTAGGGACCTACCTTAACTACAATAATCTCTACTTATTAAAAGAATGTAAGAAATCCTTGCTTATTAAACAGTTTAAACTCCTCTCTGCTGCAAGTAAACAAAACAACAGGGAGTCTGCAAATTCAGAATACACAAGGGGGCGGAGCTATCATGTCACTCAGAACCTTTTTTCACACATGAGTGAACAAAGAAGTCCCAGTAAGCAGTCCCAGGGGCAGCTGGGACTGCTGGGACTGCTTTTCATAGCAGTCCCAGAGCAGTCCCATAGCAGCCCCATAGCAGTCCCAGAGCGGTCACAAAGCAGTCCCGGGGACTGCTTTCTGGGACTGCTTTGGTGTCAGGTTGGGTCTGGTTGGTACTGTAGACATTACATTTTAATTTAACACACAGTATTCATTACATTTCTTAATTCTTGTTTGAATCCACCCTTTTACTCAGTTCTGAGTATTTTTTTCAGAAAATTTAATATGAAAATCAGAACAAACATTTTCATTTTTATAACGTCTTTTTTATACTGTTTCATAATATGAAAAGTTAATTGAAGACCATTTCTTTTTATGCCCCCGTAATCGAAGACTCCGGGTATTAGAAAGCGAAACTCCTTCACAAGTATCGTCATTACGTTGTGTAGAGAGTTTTGCAAATCAACCACACTCGTGTTATGTAAACAGTTTTTTTTGTAAATAGAGCACGAGCTCTATTATTGTTTGATGTTTACGATTTACCAGGAGCTTTTAATCGCCAAAGTCTGCTTACCACAACTGCATGGTCAGACAATA